CGGCTCTCTAGAGTCTCCCGGGTACCGACCGGTGGCCTTGAGGTAGTCTGGCCGCCTGGGCCTGCCCCGCTGGCCGGGCTTCTGCAGCCTGAGGGTCGAGAGCCGCTAGCCCGGGCGGGCCCTGGGCCCGTCCCAGGTAGCTGGTCCCCGGTCGGGATCCGGCGGGGCGGTCCCCAACCGCCGCCCGGGCGTCGGTACTCCCCACGCTCAGTCTGTGCGGGGCGGCTGGACCCGTGCGCCCTGCGGGATGGGGGCGGCGGCAGAGCCCTGTAGAGCGGGGCTTTAGTCCAGCCTTTTGCCAAGTTAAAAGCCAAGGGGAGGTTAAAGCTGAATCTGTAGAGCCGTAGGTAGTGTGGGGCTCTAGATCTTTCAGTTTCCTAAATCTGGGGTTTGTTCTTAGATCTCAATTGTTTAAAGCATAGTTTTAGGTTTTCGTGTGCTTATAAATGCAGATGGTCAAAAAAGGACATAGTTCTGCCTGCGGATCTGGCTGCATTCTGATCTCTCTTTGTACAACTAAAATGCTTCTAGAAGAAGAGCTCCCATAACGGTTTGCTTTGTTCTTCTTCGCTAGTGGAATGAGATAATAGAACTTTTTCGTGCTGGGATGCCATTACGGAAACATCGGTGTCGTTTCAAAAGCTACGAGCGTTGCTTCAAAGCCTCGGAAGCAGTGGACTGTTTACATGAACTGCTTGGCTCTAATCAAAACTTTGGCCCAGAAGTGACTCGCAATCAAACGGTTAAGCTGCTTAAAAAATTCCTGAAAAATCATGTTATTGAAGATATTAAAGGAAGATGGGGCAAAGAGGACTTTCAAGATGATGGCCATTTATACAGGTAAACCTATATATGATGACTGAAAAATTTTAGTTTTTGGAAACGGGGAGTAATAACTCTTGTGTAGTGGTCTTACAAATGTTTTTGTAGAATGCCTTTGAAAAGATACTAATGTGTCTTCCCTCCTCCTTCCCTTTAAAGACCTTATTTTCTCCAGTGATAGGCAACTGTCATGATTTAGTGTTTGGGTTGTTTGTTTTTTTTTTTTTTTTTTTTTTTTTTTTTAAATATTTTTGAAGGGCACTTGTACTTGTTTGTGTTCTATGAACACTAACAAAAACTTTTGTACCTTTTACAAGGTAGTTAGTTCTGTTTGCTCTTGGTAGACATCAGGTTTGTCAGTGTTGGCATATGTATCAAGAAGACATTGATGGAAGTGAGGATGCCATTAAGCACCCAGCTCCCATTGTCCTCTCTCTCCCCCAACCCCCTGACTATTCTGGATGCTGTTTCCACTCCTAAGGGAAGAGAAAGGCCTTCTGAATTTAAAAGTCATTCATGATATAGAGCCTTTTTCTATGCTCCTTGGATTGTAGACTGAAATTGTCTTAAAAGAGACAAAGTTTCATTTGCTCATCCTCAAGGATGCTTGCTTACTCATCCCTGTTTAGCCTCTCAAATGGTTGCTTGTTAACAGAGGAAAAAAATTTTCTTCGTAATGAAAGCTTAGCTAGCATTACTGGAGGGGGTTCCTTGACCTCTTGTGACCTCAGTAAAGGTCTGGGTGTCCAGAATTTGTGGGTGCTGAATTTGTACCATATTGTAATGTCCTGTTCAGTGAAAAGGTAGTGTAACAATGACCATTCATTACCTTAAGTATGGATCTGTAACTTACATTGTGATGAGTCTTTTAAGGAAATGGGAGCTATCTTCACGCAGAGCAATAGGGAAAATAGGTCAGCAATAATGCTATGTTTCTACTTATTATATATATATTATTATACTTATTATATATATATATTATACAATTAAAGAAATTTTATGTATTAATTTTTTGTAATGGTTTCTTAATCTTGTCTTTGGAAAAACATATGTAATACTAATTTTCCACTTCATGTGGATGAAGTCAATTTTTCATTTTGCTCTATGATTTAACTAGTTTGTTTGTAGAGTGTGCCTAAGCTTTTTTGCTTTCCAGCTTGTACATCTATCCTGTAAGTGCAGTTGTTCGTTACTCTACTAATTTTATTTATTAACTTGGAATATTTTAAAAGTGAGAGGTATGTATGATTTAATTCTCTTATTTTGTCATAAACAAACTTGGGTCAAGATATTTTCTTATAAAAGAGCCACGGTTTACGTTAAACTTGTTGCAGTGCAGTGCAGTTCATTGCCAGTCAGATTGGATCAGATTTGTATTTAACTGTAGTAACAAATTAGCACCAATTCAACTTGTTCGTTATGATACTGTGTGATATTTTTCAGTAAAAGTGGTAGGTGGTTTTTAGCCTGCCTTCTGAAGGAAACAACACTGAATGCTACAGCTTCACTGCCAGATAAGTTAAATATTCAAACCAATTTCAATCAACTTTAATGGAAGAAATTTTAAATAATTTGGGAGGAATAAAAAAATGAATGTTCTCTCCAAACTGAGTTCCATGAAGGGAAATTCCATGTAACAATTAATCAAGGAAAATGTTAAATTTTAGAATTTGGGACTCAAATTCAAAGGACTTGTATCTGAAGATATTTTGGGAAGCTCACCCAAGAAAGTCTGTTGCTAAGTATAAAAAATGATATATGGCTCTGCAGCCTGTGAGCTGAAAAAGACCAAAGGCTGGGGAAGTGTGCTGAGGAGGTATCGTGTATGCTTGTCCTGTTCTTAAATTCTTCCCTTGCCATCTGCTTATGACTGCTATAGAAAGGCAAGACATTGGAATAGTTTACCTAGTCATCGACTAGTTCAGGTTGGAAAACAGGCATGGAAGACAAGAAGAGCTGCAGAGGATCTTAGGTCTCAACTTTGGCCTGGAGAAGGTTAAATGTATATGAGTAATGTGGAGTGGGTTTTTTACCTGTTTAAGTGGAGTTAGAAAAGCAGTTAGGTCCTGGTACAGCACGTGGTGGTAGGTGTGTTATTGGTTTGGTATGTTCCTAGCCCAGTCCTGCTCTGTCTATCCTTCTTAGGACAGCACTGCCTGCACAGTTTTTTTCACTGGTGCCATAGGTGTTAAGTAATTTGTCTCCTTTCTTTATGGGCATTGACTCTTTGTCAAGAGATTAAATATGCGTTCTGGTAACCACTGGTATTACACTATATCTCTTTGGTTTGGGTTTGTTGTGTTTGTGTGGCTGTGGTTTTTTGTTTGTTTGTTTTGCATTGGCATTGTGACACATTTGAATTATTTTGTTCTTTTCTCCTTTATATTTTCAGCCATGACTTCCCTGAGCTGCAGGCTGTGGCAAGCTGCAGGCTGTGGAATTTAGTTGGGTGAAATATTTCTGTGCTTTTCATTTTCTATGCACTCTGCCTAATGATCTGCTATTGGACAAGCGAGCTCGTTTGTTATAGCTATCTTAATGGTGTTCTTCACCTACCATTCAAAAGATAACTAAGTTACTAATTAAACGGGTTTTTTACTAAAACCACATACTTTTCATACATGTTTAATTGGAGCCAGATTTTTCCCACTGAGCTTGGTGCATAAATAAACTGTGTATGCTACTCGTGGTTTTGGTGTTCGGCTTTAAGTATTAAAACATGCTTTTCTCCTATTCATCGAGGGAAACATCGGTTTTTCAGCCCGCTTTTATTCATGTATTTAGTGTCCTGGCAGCTCCCTCTGGTGGACTTCCTAATGTTACGCTGTAAATACGTTTCCCACCGCGTTGATACAGGTAGCAGTACGAGTAGCTTTTAATTCCACTGACAGAGCTTACTCTGGAAACCTTGATATGCTTCATACCTTTTCTATACATTCCTGTGTTAATTTACTTTAGCTGTACACTGCGGTGCACAGTTGTGTCACTCATTAACATCGCATGTAAGTGTAGTTTTCCCCGCTCTTGTTCACTCCACAGACTATGCAAAAGAGATGTTGCTAACTGTTGATTTGCCTGAGAGTATTGGGCAAGTATTAAACATGAAGGTGAGAACTAGTGTGGCTTCTAAAAATAGCAAAGTCTGTGTGCTCTGACTTACTGTCTCAGTGTAGTCTGCAATAATAAATGAGAAGTTACAGCTTTGGAAGCTGTCAGGCTTTACATTTTATGGAATCTAAGCAATTGTATTAAAAGCAAAAGCATTGCTAGTAAACTTCTGGGAATTCAGCTGTGGTACTAGTTATACCATTGATACCAACATTAGTTGACCCTGTTCTCTATCCATTGCTGCGGACACAAACAGGTATCTCTGTTTCCTCCTTATATAAACTCCTAAAACTTGTGTTGCTGGTTGTAAACCATGCTAATCTTGACATGTCAACCTCGGAATGCTCCTCAGTTGCTAGCCTTAGGTAACATTATTCTGTTCATCATAAAATCGGAGGCTTTTCATTGTTTATCCAAAAACTTGGCTCTATTCAGATCTTGCTGTAATGCTACCTGAAAAAAGGAAATGCACCTCCTTTTTCTGCTTGTACGAATTAATTTATTTACTGGTTGGTTGAGAATCATGGCATCAAATAACATGAAGCTAAAAATTGTGAAGAACTGGAGGGGAAACAGGGAGCTGTTGAGAATACTGTCAGGTAAAGGAAAAAAGGCTGCAGATGTTTGAACATTAAACTCTAAGAAATAATGAATAGCTGAAAAATAGTTGAGAATACTCAACAGCTGAACATCTGCAATGTAATCTGGGTTACTTTTAAAAGGCAGAGTAAGTCTTGCAGGATTAGTGCAAGGTGCTTATTACTTCTCCTCAGGGTTTGTCTGAAGGAAGTGATACCTCCCTGAGTTGCAGATACTCTGTTGAAGAGCGCTGTGGATTATGGCAAATGGACTCACTGTGTGTGGCCAAAACCATAAAGTGTTTAACTGATGCAGTATAGCACTACTGGACTAACAAAACTGCAATACAAAACTAATTTAAAAACTAATTAAATGTTGTCACTGCCTTGAGAGGATAGGGTGAAATTTTAAAGAAAACTTGAGGATTTCTTGAGCATGAGAATATTTCTGGTAGGACATAAATGCATGCTATCCAGCTGTGTGAAAGCTCTTGTTGCATGGTCATAGACGTAACTGTCTTTTACATTCTGATTAAAAGAGTGAGTGAGGCTGAAGCAATTTCTAGAAGCATCAGGAATCTCAGCATCTAAAACCTAGGAGTGCAGGTAAACAAGATCTGATCTGGGCTAGTCTGATGATATGTTGCCATCAAACTGATTTGTCTTTCTCATGTGCTACCATTAACTCCTTTGTACATGCTTTGACCTAGGTTTAGCAGTAATTTGATACTGGTCAAGCTGGAGATATGACTGAGCTGAATGTGGTCTGGGATAGTTTGTTTTCCTTGTTTTCTGCAAGGGCTAGCTTAGGGTTTATTTCTGCTAATTTCTTCAAGGCACTTCTTGAAATGCCTTAAAAAGTGAATGATTTTCCTGCACAACCAGCTGGAAAAAGACTCCAGAAAACAACTGCAGGATATGTTCTTCGCCTAGAAAACACGTAAACGCAGAAGAACATGGTAATGTGGACAAAACCTTGTGTGGACACTTGCATGCACACTAATTAAATCCAAGTGTTAGTCACATGACTTAGTTATGTAGCTTTGCTTTAGGAGATGCATGCGAGCAGTGCACTTGACACAGGGAAAATCTACCTGCAGCTTTTTCAGCAGAATCAACATCTTCTAATGAAGACCTGAGTCAGTTGTGTGTGCATAGGCAGCTGGTGCTATTTGAGGTGCACTGGGTTATCAGACATTCACCCAAGGCTCAGCTGTGTCATGGGAGGTACTAAGGACCTGACCTGTTCTGGAGCAGCAGATGGAGGCCAAACAAGACACCTTAGGATGTTTGTGTCACTCAACACCAGTCTTCAGGCAACTAAGTCGCACTGTGACTGTCCAAGGCATTTGTTGTATTTTTGCATGTGAAGGCCTGCTACAGTTTTGCATTGGTAAAAATGGAATAGGGTAGAGTTCAAAGGCATTAAAAATATTCTCTAATTGTAGATTTCCTCCTTCCTCACCGCTGAAGCCATATCCAAAGAAACCTTCATGTGGAAAAGAAGTAATTAAATTTCCAGATTGGAATGAACCGAAGGCTGGCACTTCCCAAGAACACATCCCAGTGAAATCGGTCACAATGGTAAGACATACAGTTTTCATTTCCCCAGACATCAGCATATTTGGAAAGCAAAACTGAATTAATGATCTCTTTGTTGTGCGCAAAATATTTAATTAGAAAATTAAATGGGAAGTACTTTTATTTTAAACTTATGTGAAGTAAAGTTGTTCTTAACTATTTGCTGGGGATGCTGGCTTTGAGTGTTCTTTCTGCTACAGACTCTGATGTCCTGAGCATCCTAAGTTCAGCATGGCTGTATTTGCCAGTATGCTTGCATTCCAGTTTGCTCAGATTCCAATTCCATTTATCATACTACAAGACAAAATAGTTACTTTACTGTCACTTACACTGTAACTCTTATTCAGACACTTCATGTAGCAGAATATATACAGTATTACTCCCTTCCTAGCTGTTATGAGGTTGTTAGTGATTCAGTTTCCATTTTCATAAGGAATATGTTGTAGCTAAGGAGAAGTGGTCCTGGTTTCATTGTTGCCCTTTTGTGAGCTTGGAGAATCATCCTGCCCCATACTTACCTGGATTGATCCAGCCTTTGTAAAGTCATTGAAAAAACTGTTGCTTTTATTAGTAAACCAAAATTGTATCAACTCTTGCCACCTGAATGTCTTTAAAGCCTAGGCTTCTGGAGTTACAGAATCATAGACTTGTTTAGGTTGGAAAAGACCCTTAAGATCATCGAGTCCAACCATTAACCTAGCACTTCCAAGTCTACCAATAAACCATATCCCTCAGCACCACATCAACCTGTGACTTGGGGGAAGAGACCGACCCCCACCTGGCTACAACCTCTTTTCAGGTAGTTGTAGAGAGTGATAAGGTCTCCCCTGAGCCTCCTTTTCTTGAAGCTAAACACCCCAGTTCCCTCAGCTGCTCCTCATAAGACTTGTGCTCCAGACCCTTACGTATATTCTAAACCCTTCCTCTAGCTTATCTTGTATGTGAGCATTCTCGTATTTTGTGAACTCTTGGGGCTTCTTTGATAGTTCTGGCCTTTTTATTAATGCTTATCAGTGCAGGACACTAGCCTTGGATTTCTTGGTGATCGATAGTCTGTTTGGAAAAGTAGCTGCTACCATTTTGTTGGACATCTAGAGGTCCTGAATGAATGGTTATTCCGTATTTGTAATCCAATTACTTATATGCAGTTTGAGTGCACCTTTCATTTACAATAGGCTTCTGAAGAGGAAAAGCATGGTCCTTAGAACTTCAATATCAGGTAGAAGATTAAAAGGAAAGAAAGAAAAAATAGTGCCAAACACAACTAAAGAGAATAGAGTATTTTAGTTACTGAGCAAGCATCTGCTGCAGCTTTAACATGTTGCAGCCTCCAATTGTCTGCTCTAAATTTCCATCCAAGCATCCTGGCCTGATAAGAATTGGCAAAAGACTGCCTATCTGACTCAGATGCGACAGCATACAGTCTGGCATAGCTCAAAATTTTTCATTGGCAGTTTTGGTTAATACAGTGGACCATAAGTTGAAGTAACTGAGGCAAAGGAATAAGCTTCTTTCTGCTGTCTCTTTTATAGAAAGGTGTAGCTTCCACTGGAATGGTGAAGTAGACAGGTAGCTGAAAGTGGTGGCACCTTAAATTGCTCCACCATCAATCAGAGCACTTTTTGGCTGTCTGTGGATTGATGGGCATGGGTCTGTGTAGTGAAGTACTGATGTGGAACACCAGATACTAATTTCAGAAGGTGCTATAGATACTAATTTCAGAAGGTGCTGTTTGTTTCAAACTAGCGATAGTCTGGTGTCATGGAATGACAGATGATTAGTGCTTGGAGTAATTAAGTGCATTCCTGAAGTGCATTTTATGGTTTATTTGAGATCACAAGGAATACTGTTAATGTGTTTTAGGACTGCTCTGTGATGTAAATCAAAGAACTGGGAATGATTAGGAGTTTTGCCTTCAAAAGTACGCTGCTGGCACAAACTCTGTTGTATGTCTGTCCATTGACACATTGATAACAATCTTAGAATCGTAGAATCGTTAAGGTTGGAAAGGACCTCTGAGATCAAGTCCAACCATTAACCTAACTGCCTAGTCCACCTCTAAACCGCGTCCCTAAGCACCACATCCACACGTTTTTTGAATACTTCCAGGGACTGTGATTGTACCACTTCAAGTATTGAGCTTGGACGTGAATGTTGAATAAAGGAGAGTAGTCTCTTGCATTCTCTGCTTTACTTTATTCTGTTAAAATGGTGGACTAGATCTGATGGGTATCTTCAGCTGTAGCTATTTGCTTTTACTTTATTAATGTATAGAAACTTGTAATGAACTTAATGTTTAGTTTTGATCAGTACATGCTGAACAAGGATGAATATAAGTCTTTGACATCTCATATAATAATTCTCCAATAATTTTTCCTTAAGCAGTTCTTTAATCTTAGAGTGGCAGTTGAAAACAAGTGAGTTGAACTCATTTTAATCACGGAGAAGACCTGAACACAGGACTAGAGGCCATTGACCCCTGAAGTTTAATGGCTATTCTGACACACATAATTTTTCAGCTTTGGACAAGTTACGTAACTGAGAAAAGATGCTGCACATCCAGGATTTGCATCCTGGAGACTTTACTGGAATTTAGGAATATTTAAAATACTTGTAATAGGGAGCATGCTGTACTATAAATGTATTATACTGTTTAATACTTGAAAAGTCACCAGTCAATGGGGTGTGTTTCTTCTGATTTCAGAACTCTGAGATGTGGTACAAGCGACACAGTATAGCTATAGGGGAAGTACCGGCATGCAAACTTGTGTTCCGCAGAGAGCTAACACAAACAAATATAGAAGAAATATGGAAATCCATGACTATGTCACGGTGAGCATACTTGTGAGTCATTTGCTGTTAGAGTAAAACTGTGTAGTAGATAATAGTCTTGTCTGTCTTCTGGTAATGCTTGTAATTTCACCCACTCACCTTTCATCGCTGCTATCAAAGCCATACTGGCTAGACTAACTATACTGCTTGTTATTTGGCTAACGAATTCAGCAAATAAAGTTTGCAAAGAAACTTTATTGTGCTTAATACCTTTTGAATTTTTCTGTTGTGTTATACAAATCCTTTTGTTGTGTGGGCTTTGGCTTGTTTAATCACTTTTTTCCTCAGTCTTTCTCTTTTTTCTTGTTATGAAATAGAAGCACTTCTGTAGAAGTGCAGTACCATGAAACTTTTCAATTACAAGTACAATACTTCATATGAGATAAGAAATGGAGTAGCTAATTGACTGCAGAGGGCTTTAAGGTTCAGATATCCTTTACTATTTCCGAAAGGATTATCCTATGCAAAGTTAAAGGCGTTGCTTTAGACTGCAGGAGAAAAAAATGACATACATTAGCTATTTTTACAGCACAGTTGAAGCCTTGCTAATGATTACTTTAATCTAAACATAGCACATTATCTCCGTGTAATAAACTTGATGTTAAGGTGAGCAGCTCTGGTGCTGGCATGATCAGCAGCGGAGTGCTCCAGTGCGGCGCACAGTGGGGTTTCCTGAACCAGGGTAGACTCGGGGGCGCCAAGAGAGCCACCAGGAGCCTGCAGCTCATGAGACACTGGCTGATGAGACCTGGGTGTGGCCAGAGAGAGATATTCCTGGAACCGCACCCTACCTTCCCTGGGACAGGCCTGTCAGGCAGATAGGACACTTGATACAGTGGATTCCCTGTCCTCTCTCCACCTGGCTGTACACAGTGACTCAAGTGATAGGGGACAATGGCAACAAGTTCCTGCCTGGCGCAGCAAGCATGTCTCCTCTGTGGCTACGCCACCTTCCCAGGTGCCCTTGCATAATAGGTACGAGGCTCTGCAAGTGGAACAGAAAAATGATGAGGACAATGGTTCGTCTAGGTCATAGGTGTTACCAAGATTAAGTCAGCCTACACCCTGCATCAAAACCGCTTGTAAAAGAAAAAAACGCAGGTCATTATCATAGGAGACTCCCTTCTGAGGGGAACAGAAGGCCCAACATGCAGACCAGACCCTCTTCTTAGGGAAGTCTGCTGCCTCCCTGGGGCCCGGATTAAAGATGTGAAGAGGAAACTTCTACCCTGGTACAGCCCTCAGATCCATTATTGATTTTTTTTTCATGTTGGCAGTGATGAAGTTGCAATAGGAAGTCCAAGGGCAATCAAGAGAGACTTCAGGGTCTTGGGACGACTGGTCAAGGGATCAGGAGCACAAATAGTGTTCTCCTGTATCTTTCCAGTTGCAGGGAATGATGAGGGAAGAACCAGGATATAAACAGCCAATACCTGGCTCTGAGCCTGGTGTCACCAGCAGAATTTTGGGTTTTTTGATCGTGGGTCGGTCTACAAGACACCAGGCCTGCTGGCAACAGGCTGGGTACACCTGCCTCAAAGGGGGAAAAGGATCTTTGCACAGGAGTTAGCAGGGCTCATTGAAAGAGCTTTAAATGAGATTTGAGGGGGGAAGGGATAAAACCAGACTTGCTCAAGATAAGTCTGGGGGCTGCACACCAATGTTTGAGGGACGATATACAGCGAGGTCCTTCGGTCTGCTCCACAATGTGCTGAGTACACTGGAGAACATTTTAAACATATTTATACTAACACGTGTGGCATGAGGAATAAGAAAAAGGAGCTAGAAGCTTTGGCCCAGTCCCAGAGCTATGACATTGTTGGCATAAGTGAAACCTGGTGGGACGAGTTGTGTGACTGGGGTGCCATGATGGATGGTTATAGGCTCTTCAGGAGGTATAAGCAGGACACGTGAGGGTGGGGGAGTGGCATTGTATGTAAGGGAGGGGTTGGACTGTATGGCGCTTACAGTTGGCGACAGCATGGTTGAGAGCCTCTGGGTAAGGGTGAAGGGGAAAGCAAATAAAGTGGATATTGTTGTGGGAGTCAACTATTGACCACCCAGCCAGGGTGATGATACTGATGAATTATTCTACAAGGAATTAAGGGATGTCTCTAGATCAACCGCCCTTGTCCTTAATGGGTGATTTTGACTTCCCAGACATCAACTGGGAATATCACAGCAGACACAAACAAGTCCAGGAAATTCCTGAAGCATGTTGAAGATTACTTCTTGGTGCAGGTACTAAGGGAGCTGACTAGGAAAGGTGCCCTCCTAGGTTTTTTTTTTGTTGTTGTTTGTAAACAGAGAGGGACTCATGGGCGAAGTGGTGATTGGTGGCTGTCTTGGTCACAGTGACCATGAAATAGTTCAGTTTCAAATTGTTGGTGATAGGAGAAAAACTGCCAGCAAAACATCAACCCTGGATATGGGAAGAGCAGACTTTGGGCTGCTGAAGGAGTTACTTAGGCACATCCCCTGGGAATCTGCTTTTGAAGGTGTTGGGGTCCATGAATGCTGGTCACTTTTTAAGAGCCATCTCTTAAGAGCGCAGGAGCAGGCAATTCCAAAGTGTTGGAAGTCAAGCAAGTGGGGCAGAAGGCTGGCTTGGCTGAGTATAGATCATCATCTAGAACTTAGGAGGAAAAGGAAAATGTATGGACTTTGGAAGCAAGGACAGGCAACACAGGAGGATTACAGAGATGCTGCTGTTCACCACAGTAGGGAGAAAAATTGTGCAGCCAAAGCTCTATTAGAGCTCAAGCTGGCCAGTACTGTGAAGGACAACAAAAAGGGCTTTTAAAAATATGTTAATAGTGAAAGGAGAATCAGAGATAACATCAGTCCATTGCTTGATGAAGTCAGTCACCTCGCAAGTAGGGATGTAGACAAAGCAGAGACTTGTAATGCCTTCTTTGCCTCTGTCTTCAACACCGGTGATGAGCCCTGTATTGGAAAACCATGACTGGGGAGATGATAAATTCCCAGCTGACCCTGAACTTGTTCAAGACTTGCTGCTCCAGCTGGATGTGCATAGCTACACAGCTAGAGAAGTCCATAATGTGTTGGGTGAGCAATTGGCTGATGGGTTGGGCTCAAAGGGTTATAGTAAATGTGGTTACATCAGGCTGGCAGCCAGTCACCACTGGGGTTCCCCAGGGCTCAATTTTAGGGCCAGTGCTCTTTAATGTGTTTATAAATGATCTGGATGCAGGAATCAAATGTACATTAAGTAAGTTTGCTGATGATACTAAATTAGAGGAGCTGTGGACTCCCTTGAGGGTAGAGAGGGCTTATGGTGAGATCTGGACAATCACCAACTGTATGAAATTTAATAAGAGCAAGTGCTGGATTCTCTGTTTAGGACTGGGTAATCCTGGTTATACATACAAAATGGGGAATGAGAGACTGGAGAGCAGCCCTGTGGAAAGAGATCTGGGGGTTTGGGTTGATGGCAAGTTGAATATGAGTCAACAGCGTGCCCTGGCAGCCAAAAGGGCCAACCATGTGCTGGAGTGCATCAAGCACAGCACAGCCAGCTGGTCGAGGGAAGTGATTGTCCTGCTCTACACTGCACAGGTGTGGCCCCACCTGGAGTACAGTGTGCGGTTTTGGGCAGCGCAATATAAGAAGGACATCAAATTATTAGAGTGTGTCCAGAGGAGGGCGACCAAGATGGTGAAAGGTCTCTTAAGGGCAAGACTTAGGAGGAGTGGCTGAGGTCACTTGGTTTGCTCAGCTTGGAGAAGAGAAGGCTGAGGGGGTGACCTCGTTGCAGTCTACAAATTCCTCATGGAGGGCAGTGGAGGGGGAGGTGCTGATCTCTTCTCTCTGGTGATCAGTGATAGGACACAAGGAGATGGGATGAAGCTACATCAGGGGAAGTTCAGGTTGGGCATTAAGAGAAGGTTCTTCACTGAGAGGGTGGTTGGTCACTGGAACAGGCTCCCCAGGGAAGTGGTCATGGCACCAAGCCTGTCAGAGTTCAAGGAGTGTCTGGATGAGACTCTTAGTTGTATGGTTTAGTTTTAGGTAGTCCTGCAAGGAGCAGGGAGTTGGACTTTGATCCTCATAAGTCCCTTCCAACTTGAGATATTCTGTGAAATGGAGAGGTCTCTTTTTCAGAATCGTATCTATCCTACTACTACATTTGCCTTTTTCAGATTAGATCATGTATGAACTATGTGTTTATGTATTTTTACAGATTACAAAAGGTCTTGGGTTTGGATTCTCTGGATGAAGTCTTAGACACAAAACTTGTGAATTCAAAGCATATAGTCCAAAATGTATACAATGTCAATAAGCAAGGTATTGTCACTTTAGAAGACAAATCAAGTGAGTATTTTAGAAGTTTTCATCTAACTTTTTTATATTGTAGTTTACTGGTATAAAAAAAAAGTATTAGTTCTAATCTATACTAACATGTAGCATCTTTATACTTGTATGACCACATCTATACTAGAGTTTTTAACAAGTACGCCATTGTTGTCCTCTGACATCCCAGTAGTAAGAATCAGTGTTTATTCCATATTTACTCTCTTAAACGTATTCCTGCTTTAGCAGGGTTGAAAGATGAAGGTGAAATAGCAGCAACTTTTCATTTATAAAGATACTATTCATTATTCATTTATAAGGATATTATTCATTTATAAGGATATTATTCACTTCAAGTTGTCTTTGTCAGCTTAGCCCTTAACTGCCTGAAGTGGAATGTTTACATGAGGGAAATGTGTATTAAATATTGGGAAAGAATCAAAATGTACACTGAGAGATCCTTAACATTTCTCAGTTTTGAGTTTTCAGTCAATGTGTTTTGAAACTAGTACTGAGTTTAAAGCTGCTTTGCACATCAGGGAGAGAGTAAAGCATCTTTGCTGCTGTGATATATATTATTATTACCACCATGTTTTCAACAAGATTTGTAAAGAAGTAAAATATGAGATTGGAACCTGGTTTGGTTTGTGAATGAAACCTCCTCCAGAGCATATACATGTTAATTTTAAAGACAATTGGAGCACCTCAAGATACTAACTTCCTCCTTGCAGAAATGACAGAACTGAATGTATGAGTGCTTTTCATCATCTTCAGTGCAAAGAAAATGCTTCACTGTAAGGCACTAGTGAAGCTGTAGCTTGAACTAGTTTGGCTGATTTTTGCAGGGCAGGTTAAGGATTTGCGATATGATCCATTTTGCTGATTGAGTTGTAAGAGCAGTAGGCATAACTGGTTGATACTGAGTACTGGAGGTACTAAAGTATAGATGTAATTCAAGCTAGATCTTACATTAAGGTATAGCCTGCCTTTGCGATCAGTTGATCTACTGTATAGGAGGAACTTCTTTAAGAATTTTCAGCTTCACTTTTATCTTACAGTTTAACATCTTTCTCAGTTTTTTTTCTCTTTTTAATTTCTGTCTCTTTCTCCACTATGTAGAGGAACTACCTCACTGGATATTATCAGCAATGAAATGTCTAGCAAATTGTAAGTAAATTCAGGAGGGGGGAAAAAAAACCAAAACCAACAAACAACCACCCACCCCCATAAAAATCAATTGAACTGACTGTGCCTTTACCTCTTTATCAAATCCTGTTCATATTGACAGTCAATATTTTTTCTGATCATTGCCTTAAACAAAGTTGGAAAAGATCAGCCAGCATATATACTCCTGCCAGTGCAGCTTATTTCAATGAAATGTATAAAGGTTTTATTTATTCATATTTTTCCTTTACTATGTGTTTTCACTAGACCTATTGGAAATAGAGCAATTCAACAGATCAATACAATTTCACTTATATTTTGAAGAATGAGTCTAAGTTTTGTTTTATTTTTCTACTTGACATTGCTTTTTTATTGGCTAGAATGAAAACTAGTAATCTCATTGGTGGCAGCAAATTAATTTTCTCTCTCTTCCCCTGCCTCCCCCCCTTCTCTTTGTAGGGCCCAGCTGCTCAGATTTGAAGCAGCCTACATACTCAGGATTTGAAAGAGATGTCTTCAAAACTATAGTGGACTACTTTGGCCAGATAAAAGAACCTCTTCTCACATTTAATTTTTTTGATGTTTTTGTTAGTGTGTTAGGTAAGTAGTTTGGGATGTAATGAAAAAATAATTCTTTTGAATTAACTTCCTGGAATTAACTTACCATATTCAAATACTATCACAGCTCATTTCTTTAGGACCTGTCCTGTCCATTCTACATAGAGAACAGTTTAAATTTATTTCATATCATAAGGCCGTTTTATTCTTGTGTCTTTTTGATCACATTACTTCAAAAGTCTTCCATTGCTTGTCTTTATGATTTTTAAAGGCCTCTGTTCATTGCTTAGCACTGCCACACCTAACAGATGGATTTTAACATATTTTTCTTTTTTTACAAATGCTTAAGCATCTTAAAAACTCGCATAAGCTTTTAGAAATTGCTTGAATCAAGTCTAGATTAAAAAGGATTAGGGCTGTAAGGACTGTTTTTAACCCTGGCAATACGATACCTGAAGAAAATTGAAATCCTTCATTGCTTAAACTTAGAATAGGCATTAGCTAATCTAGTGCTTTAAAGAAACACTCGTTTAATTATTAATTATAACTTTTTAAGGGTTCACACTATATCAAATTCACCTATCCTGTAGCTATAGATGGCCCACTGAAAGACAGTAAATGTGAAAATATTTGATTACATTTTATGCTTCTATTTCTGAAAAGAACTGAGTTGAAAAGTAAGCATGTTTTACTGAGCTTCTTTAAGTGGGAACAACATTACTTTTAATAAACTATTGAGATGAAAAAGGAATTCAGAATAACACTTTTATTTCTGGAATTTAGTATTTTTACATTTTGTTAGTTGACAATCTTGCTTCAACCTAAATATAGTTCTTTTTCTGACTTTTTTCTTAGATCGTAGATATTCTTGATAATATCTTTAAAAATTCTCCCTCTTCTTTCATACTCTTTCTTTTTGCTTTTCCATTGCATTTCACATCTTTCCGGTTTCAAGAGTTTTATTTCACAGTATTTCACAGATGCAAAAATGAGAAGAAAGAATTCATGCCAATGTTTATGTGGAAATGAAAGGAAACTGCGCTGTTTCAAGAAGTCAAAAAATCATTTTGTGATCTCTTTCACAAGAAATGAGATATTAATACGGAAACCTTTGTTACTAACAAAAATAGATTTACACAAAAAAAATCATGGGAATACAGGCTTTCAAGAACTACTTAGTTTGTTTTCCATCTTCATACCTACACAGTTTACTTTAAAGTACTGGCAGTATATGTTTGAAAATGTGTCATGTTTCTCTAGAAGTCTTGCCTAAACAGCCTTCTCCAGACACCTAACACAGGTATTTGAATGATTAAAAAGCTGCATTTGGCCTTAATGGGATGATTTGGGGTACCTGAGTTAGGCACCCTCACTAAGAGATGATCCCCAGGTGTCTCTTCTACTTTTTTTATAATTCAAGACTATGCTCCCTATCTAGCCTGTAGAGAGAGTTCAAGAAGACAAATCAGCATACCTGTGGTGAAGCCTAACTTTCTTTTTTGTGCTCAAAACTACTTAGAACCAGTAGTAAGAAAATAAACAAGCAAATATAAGGCAGAGATGCCTGATCTGTAATGTCAGTAACAAAGTCTTCTCTAACCACTCAGACTCTCTTCTGAGATTTGATCTGTGATTCTTGGGGGTGGGGGGGAGGGGGAGGAGGAAGGGATTTTTAGGGTGTTCAGCTGAGAGAGAAAGGGGAAGTTTTGGGTTCTGCTCAATACGTAATAAAGTCTTAACAATGAGGCTAATGTACAGACCTGCCTAAGCTATAGGTAAATGCACACTCCATAGAATACTATTTTGTAATAAGTGTCAATGCTAGTACTGAATGCTGCCTGTGAAGCAGTTAATTGCTTAGCAAATTGTGCATTTACAAAGCATGGAAAAGCAGATCCATGTCTGCAGTTGCATTTCTGTGTTTTTTTTAAAGGAGTGTGGCTTGCTATATTGGCAATAATTCTTAATCTTAAGACATTTATAACCAAGATTTCAGTCTTTGAGCCTTTGACTTTTTGTATTGCTACTCTCAGGGAATTACAACCATTCCACAGTGATTATAGGACTTCTTTCTTCCTTCAGTGGATAAGCTTTCTGTTTAGTGGAAGACTTCATGAAATAGCAAAGGAAGTGTTATCAGATGATATTTTTAGTCATTTGAGGCAGTCATGATGTGATTTGTATGTGTCTAAAAGCTACATCTTAAAACCTGAGAAATATTTGCAGAAATCGTAGGTGCCTTGTGTAACCATATCAAGATACCTCACTTGCTTCTGTTTTCAAATGAAGACTGTCTAGAGCACTTCTCTTCTAAGAGGCTGGCTGAAATTAGTTTTAAGAATACCTAAAAAAAAAAAAAATAGGACTAAGGTGTCAGTAATCATCAGATATTTTACTAACTTGTTCGGACTAAACTTGCTCTTTGCCCAGATTATAATGATTCTTTACTTTACGTACAAATCTCACTAAGGTTAACTATTATTTCTCAGGGCTTCTTCTAAACATATGCACTAGTGTGCCTGCAAAATCTTCCTTTGAAATTAGAAAAAGCTTTGCTTTGAAAATGAAATTAACTACAGTGCTTTACCACTGTTTTCTTGGAGTACTGTCCATTTTGGCTGCCCTACCTACTACTGCACACTTCTTTTTTTAATAACAAACAACTACTTTTTACACAGTGTGGAATTGACTGTCATGGTGGATGAGGGGACAGCAGTGGATGCTGTTTATGCTGACTGGAGTAAAACTTTCAACAGTGTCTCCCATCACATCCTTATAGGCAAACTGATGAAGTACAGGCTAGAAGTGGATAGTGAGGTAGACCAGAAATTGGCTGAATTGCTGGGCTCAGAGGGTTGTGATCAGTGGCACAAAGTCAAACTGGGGGTCAATCAGTAGGGAGTACCCCAGGGCCGATAATGGGCCAGTAGTCGTTAACACTTCATTAATGACCTGGATGACAGGACACTCTGAACAAGGACAGAGCGCCCTAAACAAGTGTGCAGATAATACAAAATGAAGGAAGAGCAGTTAATGTAGCAGAGGGTTGTACTGCCATGCAGAGGGACCTTGACAGGCTGGAGAAATAGTCAAACAGGAATCTCGTAATGTTCAACAAAGGGAAAAGCCAAGTCTTCTCCTGGGCAGGAATAACCCCATGCACCAGTGCATGCTGGGGGTGACTGATTTGAAAGCAGCTTTACTGAGAAGGACTTGGCAGTACTGGTGGGCACTAATGTGACCGTGAGCCAGCAGTGTGACCCTGTGGCAAAGAAGACCAGCAGCATCCTTAGCTGCATTAAGACCATTGCCAGCAGGTTGAGGGAGATCTTTCCTCAGCACTAGTCAGTGAGTCCAGTGGAGGGCCACAAAAATTAAGGGCATCTGTCCTATGGGGAGAGGCTGAGAGCAGGGCCTGTTTAGCCCAGAGAGGAGAAGGGTCAGGGAGGATCTTATTAATGTGTATAAAAGAGTGATGTGGGAGGGGTAAAGAAGAGGGAGCCGGACTTCTATCAGTGATATCCAATACAGGACAAGATGCAACGGGTACGAACAGAAATACAGGAAACTTCATTTATACACAGGAAAATAGCTTTTTTTAATTGGAAGGTGGTCAAACACTGGAAGAGGATGTCCAGAGAGGCTGTGGAATCTCCATTTTTGGAGATATTCAAAACCTGACTGGATATAGTCCTGGGCATCTTCCTGTAGATGACCCTGCTTTGAGCAGGGAGAGAGGTCTAGCTAATATGCAGAGATCCCTTCCAACCTCTATAATCCTATGGAAAAAAGAGAAATGTCTCTCTTTGTTGGTCTTCCTTGTTCCTTTTTTAAGAGAAATTACTGTTAGACTTCAGTCATGCAGGTATTTTGCTCCTGACTTCTGTTTTGTTCTGATACTAGTGCTATTCAGGCAAATGTACAGTAGATGCTTCCTTTACTGAGCCTTAGAAACCCAAAAGAGGATGGTGAGACCTATTTAGAGGTACCTAAACTACTATCAAATTCTACTCTGCCTGTCCAGTCTTCAAATATCTCCGTCATGCTCACATTCTGTATTTTCTCAAGAGTTCGTAAGTAGAATTAGTCATAGATTTAACTTCTGTTGGTGTGAGGGACATGTCAGTATTGTCATAGCTGTCATTGATGCATAAGCATGGTTTTTTTTAAATTCTGATTCTTGCCTTAGACTTAACTTTATGTGGTTGCTACATCTGTGCATACATCTCAGTTGTGTTTTGAGCTGACGGTTATAAAAGAGCAAAGGATGAACAAAAACATTGTAGTTTTTCATGTCTACTAATATCTAGAGTTGTTGGTTATGGTTATTAACATCTCCCAACGCATCAGAAGGAAATCTTGTAAATACTTAAACAAGGTGCCCAGTTCTAGTAGAATCATAGAATGTCCTGAGTTGGAAGGGACCCACAAGGATCACTGAGTCCAACTCCTGTCCCTGCATAGGACAACCCCAAAATTCACACCATATGTCTGAGGGCATTGTCCAAATGCTTCTTCAATATTGTCAGGCTTGGCGCCGTGACGACCTCCCAGGAGGGGAGCCTGTTCCAGGGCTCCACCACCCTCTGCGTGAAGAACCTGTTCCTGTCCAACCTACCCCTCCCCTGGCACATCTTCCTGCCGTTCCCTTTGGTTCTATCATTGGTCGCCAGGGAGAAGAGATCAGCGCCTGCCCCTCCTCTTCCCCTTGTGAGGAAGCTGTAGACCATGATGAGGTCTCCCCTCAGTCTCCTCTTCTCCAGGCTGAAGTAGTAGTCTAATTCTAGGGATATCTTCCTAGACTCTTTGAGAAGTGGACTTCTAAGGAAGTCTTGAATGAGTAGGAAAGGAATTTGGGGAGACAGATTTAGAAATGTTATGTTAAATGTTACAGAAATATATAATTGAGAAATGTTGCTCAATCTCCTGATCTTGTATAAACCAGGTCTGCTGCAAAAACACAACAAGGCTGTAGAAGCTCTTCAGATATCTTGTCTCCTGCTGCCACCAGAAAATCGGAAAAGACTACAGCTGTTGGTGAGGATGATGGCAAGAATTAGCTTTAACAAGGATTTGCCACCTCTTTCTGAATCAGTGAGGACCAGAACCTTGGTACGTATGGTGTAAGGCAAAGGTCTAGACAAAGCTTTTGGAGTAGAACAGATAAAAGATTCTTACTGGAGAGCATATACAAAATACAGTTTGCTTGTCTGAAGAACAGTTTGTCTATTCTAGCTATGTGGAAAGCTAGTCTACATTTTAATAAATTGGGATTTCTTGGTAAATTGTAAGCAAATGAAGAATTTGCTCGGAATTTGGAGATTTCCTTATCTGTCAAAGTTAAATCACCACTGATTTCACTATTGAGTAAAAAAAAAAAAAATGAAATACAGTAGATGAGGTCTCTGGTGTTCTTTATGACTGCAGACAGTGTGGGAGAAAGAGATTGCCTGTTTCAGTGATAGTTAGAAATATGTAGCTGAATGTTTTGATTTACCTGTTTTCAGCCATAAAAAAAAAATTCCTAACAGTTTATTTCATCATTTATTTCACCATTTTTTTCATCATTTAACTATAGGAATCTCTGAAAGTAATTTTAATCAGATTTTGACAAAGTCCTAGTTTTTGCTAATGCTCTTTCTGTAGGGCTACTTGTAGAGTTATCACTGATATTTGTAGCAGCATGTTATTCCAAAGTTATTAGGCATAACTTAGCAGTTCCTGCTGGCTAAGAACATGTATTTCTTTTGGTTAATTTTCACATCTTTTGCAATAAGGGCAACAGAAAACTCAGCTGTATATCTGCTTCATAAAAATCCTATAGTGGCATGCATAAATCTAAATTTGTTCCATAGCAATTAAGTTTTTAATTAACTATGAATAGTATTTGATTAAAATAATTACATTTTTGACTGCTAAGGTTATAATTTAATTAACTGTAAATGGTCTTTGATTAAAATAATTATGTTGTAATCTAAATGTTATTTTTAGAAGTGAATCCTTTACAGTCCAAGTATTTTGTACTAAGTTTTAATTCAGCAGTGTAGCCTATGGTCCGTGAGAGAAAACCTTGATTGTCTTCTGTGCTTCTAATGTTAGAAGTGACTGGTGCAAAGACAGAAAACTCTTGTAATTCAGTGCTTGAGCATGAGACTACATGAAGTGAGTGAGACCGGAAATTTGGTTTGATGATTTCAAAATAATGGTATTAGGTTTTCCCTCTGGTGCCTAACCTCTATAAAAATCCTGTGTTATTTCTCAAATCTCTGAAATATTTGTGCCCTGTTTAACTGGAAAGGCCATGTGAAGTGGCTATTTGACAAAATCTTGAGAATAAAATGGAATTCAGGCATTCTAAGTCTAAAGTCAGGGTCAGATTATGTATATGAGGCAAGAGCCATCTTTAGTTCACTTGGACAATGTCACTGTACGTAATACTTTTTTTTTATATTGATGTGTTGGAAGTATGGTAAGTATTGTGCTGTTAAAATCTTTTTTTTTCTAAAAGATCACTTTTTAAAATACTGTCTGATTCCCCACCCCTCACCACCAAACAGAAAAATAGACAATAATGATGTGGGTTTTTTTCTTTCCCAGATGGTTCAGGCATTTTCGCGTTGTATTCTCTGCTCAAAGGATGAAATGGACTTGGATGAACTTCTTGCTGCTAAACTAGTATCTTTTCTCATGGACAATTATCAAGAGATCTTAAGTGTTCCTTCTGCCTTAAAATGTTCTATAGAGGAACATGTTGTACATCTCCAGAGAGTTCAAGTAGGTATCTAGTGAAAAAAGCCTCTTATGTCTCTGTGCTTCTAGGTCAGATTTATCCTTTCTGCTCCAAAGTTCAACAGTTCTTAAAGACTTTTTTCTGTCTCTCCTAGCTTAGGAAGAGCTAATTAATTTTGATTCCTGATATTCATCCCTAACTATGTATTTAAATGAAACTAAGCAGATCTTGAATGGTTTAGAGACAAGAACTCTAAAATATGTTTTCCTATTGGTTAGCGCTATCTTTTCCACAGAATGGGCAAACTGGTAGTAGTGAGGTAGTGAGGAAAACTGAATGGTTAAAAGGTGTTTTCACTGATGTTCTGATTTTCTTTTAGAGCCACCCTTACTTGCTCAGCTTTTTTATAACTCTTTCTGTTTCCTAATACCATATTTTGTTTTGTTCAAAGATGCTTTTTAGTTCTTCCTTCTTTAATTTCTACTGAAAAAGTAACTTTTAACTTATTCCAAGAGTTAAACAGACTTCCTTTGTGTCATGTTTTTTGACTTACTAGAACTCACTCAATTAGTGCAGGAAATAGGAGGTACAATTTAATGTCTTTATTCCATATCTTCTTGACTTAATGACTTTAGGTGGTCAATTTGATTAAGCTAGTTTTTGCAAATATATTGTAGAAAACATAGCTGCTGGGTTTTTTGTTTTTTTTTGTTTTTTTACTCTTCAGATAAAATATGCTGGAGCTGATACTGATGCAACTTTTCCTCCTCCATCATTTTGTCACCAAATCAGTACAGATGAATTTGAATACCAAAGGGCAACTGGCTTTCAAGAACCTCTAGCAGCTTTATTGGAAGAAATTGCAATGAATAAAGAAATATCTTCGAAAGATAAGAAGAAGAAGCTCAAGCAAGTAAATAAAAATTCCTCCAGTGTCTTTAATTTTAACTTAAAAAGCTTTGTCAAGTCTTAGACATGTAGTCCTCTAGAGAAATACTGAGATTTAAAATAGTAGGTACTCTTGGGGATTTCAAACTTTTAAATCATTTAGCATAGCAGTACTGTGATGAATCAAGATATATTAGAAAATATCACCTAATTTTCTATATAGAGGTATAGAAAGTCCATTAGAAAAATAATAATTTTCCTGCTCCAGAGATGGAGGTTGCACTTTAATAGTTTTTTTATATTACAAGTTTGAGTGAATTCTTCATTTAAATTGATGTATTTTTCTAGTTTCAGAAATCTTACCCTGAAGTGTATAGAGTACGATTTCCTACCCCTGAAAGTGAAGCGGTGCTATTTCCAGAAAAAACTAAACAGAAACCACCAATACTGATGTGGGCCTTAAAAAAGCCTTTTCAACCATTTCACAGAACCAGAAGCTTTCGGATGTAAATGGTTTGAAATACATCAATGCACTGAGTCAGAGCATATTATCAATGGATCTTGCGCAAAAGGAGTCTTAAGCAGCATGTAGTTATTCAAAAAACACTGGAGATACTGCCGAGATGGTAGAAAAGGTCAAAAGAAGATGAAAGTATTGAGGTGTTAGAAATGTGAGCCATTATCAGTATTTCTGTTAATAATTTTTTTTAAAGTGTCTGTTTTTTTAAAAAAAAAAAAACCAATAAAAAACAAACCCCAACAAACTCAAGGTGATTAATCTACATGGGTGATAAAAGTACACTTGCTGTGGTTTGATTTGACTATTTCAAGGTCTAAATGTAGTTGTGTGTAATGTATTGTTGGTAACTAGTCAACAGCTTTTTTTTTTTCACTGAAAATGAGTCTGTTGTGTAAACTAGGCTGTGTTTGTTAACATATAGCTTGAGAAATTAATTTGCTGTACATGCTTGAATAAGTATGAAACACTGGATTTTGTTTTGCTGTTGTACACCTCAGTGTTCTTGATATGTAAGATCTATTTTGGAAAACTGTAAAAACTCATTCTTAATTTTCCAATTCATATGATGCATTACAGCTTGAGTCAACTCCTGTTGAAATTCCATTAACTTCTGTAGTGCTGACCCATTCTTTTAAGCAACCCAGTCTTTTAAGTCTTTTCCCATATGCTCTTACTAAATCTTGCCATACAAAATTGGATGCTTGACCACAGAACATAATTTATCAGAAAAACCCGAAGCCTTGCATTTGCTCTGGAAATGGAATTCAAATATTGAAGTGACATTGAAGCATACATGCCTTTAATGATTTCATTTGGTTTGCATTATGAAATCTACTGTACCTGAAACTTGACTGTGCATATAACATACTTGATTCTGACAGCACTTTTGAGCTATTAAAGCATTACCTTTTTCTGATATTTACTTACAGTGGTGATTTCACGTTATCCATTAGAGACGTAAAGAGCAGTATTTCGTATGTTATTGAATATCAGAGACAGATGACATCTTGACAGATTTCTGTCTGACATTTTAGTAAGCAACATGGTGACCATCCTGTAATGCAACATTGACAGTATTTTCACTTTGCTAACTTACCAGTCAATAAGCTTTAAGACGTACATTGCAAGGTTGTTGGTTTAATAGATTGGAATATTTCTTGGGCAATGTGATTTTTGAACAGTACATGTTTCCATGGTCTGTTTTCACACATCAGTTATACTTGGACATCATATCAATGATCTTTTTCTTAAGCAAAAATGATACAAAAGGGTACACTTTACAAATAATAAGGAAATATTAAAATTAATATTAAAAGTAGTCTGAGGCTATTTCTCACCTTTTTGTACTAGGCCTTCAAGCGTGACTTAACCTTTTTAGATGTGTCATAGTATTCTGTGTATGCTTATGTGCAGTAAAACTTTGACTATGTACTCTCACATAATAATTTGGTTACAGCACTAATCCAGGAAGTATAATACTGAGTGAGGCTAGTTGGAAAGCAAGTCTTGCATAAAAGTAGAAACCCACCCTAAGTGATCTCTGACATCAGTTCCTAAATTGCAAAACAGATATAGAAGCCAATCTACGTGCCATTGGAATTAATCTCACTGCTTGCCAATAAGCTTTCTACTGTCATGTTGAATCTTTTACCTATTGTTACTTACTAAAAAAAAAATCTGTATTTTAATCAGTAATTAGAGTTTACTCATTAGTTTCCATGAGGAGAAGTTGAAGATGTGTCATATGTTTCTATGGATCAATTGCACTTTTGTTTCAGAGAATTATTTCCTCGACCGTGGTAAAAACAAACTAAACAAGTCCATCTGTTCACAACTCCCAAGCCTGCAAAAAATACCACGACAAAATGTCCTCTAAAATCTTGAAGGGACTGTGGGGAGGGAACTTCATCTGAGATAATCTCACAGACTGAATTTTAACGGTTGTCCTATCTTGGGAGACCCTTAAGAAAGCTTATCTTAGTAACAGAAGGTATGTGACTATGGTCACTGCTTACAGCTCTTCCTTGTCTCATAACTGAACCAGCTGACAAACTGAACCAAGACAAATATGGTATGAACACAAAAGTAAGTTTGCCTATTCCTTTCAGGGTGTAGGTTAGAAAAAGAAAGCTTGAAAGCTACTTCAGAGAAGGCTGTGGGCTTGATGAAGTGTCTTAGAAGAAAACACAGGTTCTGTATCCCTAAGCTATAGTCAATAGAAACTTCAGTGTTGATATTAACTTTCTCAGGAATTTAACCTTTACTTCTGTGTTAAAGCCATGCAGTGTATTGATGTTGCCAAGACTGACCAACATGGACTCTACCGGGTTTATTTCCCTTGAACTGTGAGGACCATAAGCCAAACATTCTTTTGCTTAACCTAGTGGCTATTTTGTGAAGAGGGTCCCTAAATGCAGTACTAGCTGACATTCTTTTAAAGTACCCCAGGTAGAAGACTCAATACAGGTAGAAGATGTTTCAGCTGCTTTTTCAGTCTGCTTAGACCAATGTTTGTTATCTAAGGAGCATCTGAAATATCCACCTGTAAGTAAGAGCTATTTCTTGCTAAATTTGGACGATGCTATTTAACTCTTTAGTACTGAAACTTCTAGTGTAATGCCATTAACTGTCATCGTACTGTTAGGCTTTTTGGTCAAGATCTTTGAGTAGAAAATTCTATTGTGAGGGTTTTGTTTGTTTTTGTGGTGTTTGGGGTTTTTGTTGTTGTTTTTTTCTTTGCTAAGTTCTTTGCCCGCAGAAAAGCAATTTCTTTTCCCTCACTCCCCACCCCACCTTGAGCATAACCTGTCTCCTGACCTATTGGTTCCTAGTGACACATCTGTGACAGCTTTGCTCCAGCATTTCCTGGAAGAGGGAAGAAGAGTATTTATCTACCTTTCTTAGTAAGCGAGCAGAGTCTTTGCTTAACATTGCGCTCTCTTGCTGATTGTTGCATTGCTTTCTTTTCTTACACAAACACAGCTTGCTCCAGCTCCTAAATTAACAGTCATCTGGAAAACCTTTCGGTTCACACGTTTCTGTTTCTGCTCTAGTCCTCTGATGTTCTTTGAGTAATAGCTTCCATTGTTAGTTGCTAATACATACAGATTATTTAATTGCTCATATTTTGTATGAAGTCTGTTTAACTCACCTAATTTACCAAGATTGTGATGTCAGCTGTTTACGGTTATGACTACAGAGAATGATTGATGTTATTTTCTGAAACTGTTTTCAGATGTTACTTCACCTCATATCGGAGGAATCTTAGGCAAAATCTGGGTGATCTCATCTTCTCATTCTAGTAAGTGGAAACAACAACTAAAGTGAAGAAGGTAGTATGTTAACATACTACACTTTTTAAGCTATTGCTGTGATATGCCAGAGCTTTTTCTTCCCTCTTTTCTAAAAAGATGTTTTACATTGTAAGAGCATCTCTTTCTTTCACAAAGACTGTGCTAACTCAAATGACTTGCTTTGTCTCTTGATCACAATTTAAGTCTCCTACTGTCTCAGGGCTTATGATTCTAGTTATTGTAGCTCTAGGTAAGCTCATACTTCTTAGATTTTAAATCCACAAACTCATAGATACTATTCTGTAGGTATATAAGTGCACTTGAATTAATTTTATTAACTTGGAACAGCTGGTGTATTTTATACCAGCTGTAATGCATTAACATTACTATTTTCATCAATTCATTAGGCTTGAAGCTGAAGTGTGAGGTGGCAAGCTTTTCAGGAAAACGAAGCCTCTAAAATGGGATTAGAATTTATACGATTTTTTAGTTCTGTTTTCAAGTATCTGCTGTATGGTATTTGTTTATCAACATGTCTTCCTGTATTAGATGTCAGTTCTGTTGTTGGTTTGTTTTTTTTTTTTTTTCCAGAAACCCAGATTATAGAACAGTTATGCATCCAGGACACTATTTATCTCCTCTTTCTATGTGAATCATGTTTAAGAAGTGAGTGTTGCATTCTACTGTCTGTAAAAGGAGTTGACAAATTTACAAAGTATAAACATATAAAATTTGGTGAAGTAAGTCCCTCGTAATGAGTTTCTGTTTGGGTGCCTAACTCCCATTTAATTTTGTCAAGACAATTAAATAACATAGAGGAGATGCTCAACTCTGTGTTTAAAAAGAAGGAAGCTGACACATGTTTGTGAAGTCCTTTCTAAAAGTAATTGAAAGAGGCAGGATATTCAAACAGTATTGGTTAGGGACAGCAATTTTCAATTTTATTGCTTTTTTGGAACTCTGGGTATCTAAAGCTGCCTGAAAAAATCTCTTGCTTGTCATGGCAAAAGCAGAAAAATGCCAGAACAGTGACAAATACATTGTTATTCAGGAGAATAATTGAGAATAATCCTAATAGCCAATAGCAAATGAGTCTGATGGCAAACTGGGGCAAAACAGTGGGAAAACTGATACAGAATTTTAGTGGGAAAACCTAAAGCACAGTAACCGAGCTAAAGCTTATTCAATGCATTATTTTAATTCTTTATAGAGAGTATATTGTCTTGCATGGGAAACTTGCTTTTGTTAGTGATGGCGATTACAAGTTTATTTTATAATGTGTGTCAGTTTTTGACTGCTGAAAATTTTTCAATGAAGGTGGGATGTATATATAGCAGTAAACTGACAATAGACTTAACTCTCATTTGTTTTTTATGGATTCCTTGTAAGTACTGATGGAGCCATGGATATGGCTGAAAATTGTGGGTACAATAGGCTTCTTATGGCATTTTATTTAGTAGCGTCAAATAAAATTATTCCTGGATAATGTCAATAAGCGTTTAAGAACTACCTAAATGTAGGCACAAGGCAATCATGATGGACATACTCATTGTGGATTTTTGCAGGAAATTAGCACTAGATTTTCCTGTCAGCCAGTGTTTTCCTTGAGGACGTGGAAATAAATATAAAAATCACTGTCATCACAGTATCATAGCTAATCTCATTAATGTTTTCAGACTGTTCAGTAATAATAGAGGCATTAATATGGAACAGTGCAGGTTGAAAATGAATTGAAATGTGGTCACTTCGAAGTTCCATGAGAACAAGATATGTAGGTCATGTAAAAAAGAAAAAAAGAGGAGGAAAGACTGTGTTCTGGAAAACTACAGCTCTGTAAAAGGTTTCTTCCACAGTGAACAAGGCTTCCTGAGATTATGCTGAGGCAAAGGGCTAATGTGGTTCTTGAAGGTCTAAATTG